GACTTTTCCAGTACATACTGCTAGCAGTTGGTGAAGTTCAGGCTCAAACCCAGCTCCAGCTGACTCTAGTGCATGCATGTGCATGTTCTCTTAATAACCACCTTGACATTCTTTACCTCTAGTTCCAAGTTTCTGAGGTACCCAAAGGAACCAAAATTTGCAGGGCAGTTCACCTATCTTCAGAATCCTTCCCAGCTTCATACTGAGAGAGAGAGAGAGAGAGAGAGAGAGAGAGAGAGAGAGCTATGATTCAATTCACCGTTTCAATGGGTCTCTCTCTCTCTCTCTCTCTCTCTCTCTCTCTCTCTCTTTTAATACCTTTGTGAGAACTGACTTAGCCTGGTTTCATTGATTAGTGTATTGCTCTGTGTCCTGACCCTGGACATTTTAGCTGTGTCAAATGTCATTTCCCAGGGTCCCAGCATTACTTTAGCGCTCATTATAAGTGAATTAACAATCCATGGATAAGACTTGTTCCCCCTTTCCTATGAAAGCAGACCCACTATAAAGAAAAACACCATGGCTTTTCAAACAACCATAAATGAATGCAAATGCAGATTTACTATAACAGTTCAATGGTACAGATCTGCATAATAAATATCTTCATGCATTGTTGCCAAAGGGGGTGGCTTTTCAGCCTGCAACATCATGCTCCCATGTGGCAACAGGAGCATATATCTGATTACTCACAAATAATCCTTCCTTGCCTTCTGTGTTTCCTACTAGTACATCAGTATGCCCTCGAGAAGTATCTGAAATCTTTGTTTTGTCTACCAGCTGTTTGTTTCCCAAAGCAAATTATTCAGATATTTTCTTTTCTGAATTAATTTCCAGAGCTGAATATTTTTTTTTCATCCATGCTGAGGTCACTTTGATGTTTTGGGATCAGTAGAAACAGAAATGAAAATACGCTTTTGCATCCTAGCCAGTAGTTTGGCAGTTAAAGATACCTGTGTGTGCGTTGTGTGTGGTCGGGGAAGGATGTCTCCAAGCAATCTTTGCAGACCGGGTGTGCGGGAGTTCTGAGGCACTATTATCATCCTTATGCCTTGTCTCAAATCCATCCTGCCTTTGACAGGCAATGTGTGGTGGTGTTTAAGCACTTGTGATCTGAAATCAGTCTTTGTGGGTTTGAATTCCAACTCTACTTCTTACCAACCACATGACCTAGGCCAGGTAACCTAATCAGGAGCCAAATTAAACCCCAAGTTCCTTGTCAGTAAACCAGGAAAGGCTTGCAAAGTACTCAGTAAATACGAACTATTGATAGTGAAATATGGGCAGTAAGAAGATGAAATTCAGCTGAGATAAGACTCAGCAGCTACTACTCAAAGTGTGATCTCCAGACCAAAAGCCTTTGGAAGTTCGATAGTTCAGAGTTTCATCATCTGTCTCAGCACCTTAGACACCTTGTCTCCAAGATCTAGTGAATCAGAATATTTAATCCTAATGATGTGTTCCATGTTAAGACTTGAGAAGCAGGAGTCTAGCTGCCCATACAGTTTTGAATAGAAACATACCCTCCAGTTGGCTGTTTTTCATATACCTTAGCCTAGTGAGGGAGGTCTTCTTCCTGGTAAAATGATGGAAAGGTGGTCACCAAGAGTGCCTATGGTGGCCTTCTCTGGCTCTGGGGATGGGCCTGAGACAAGTAGGCTTCCTTCAGGAAGTAGCTAACATTCCTTGTCTCTCCCCATTCATATAGGGAATATGTAAAGTATCTCTAAGAGTGTCCTGTCTATCCATACCCATTAGAAATATAGATTAATTGTTTACATTTCGATAAAGAGGAAAACTACCTGTTAACCCAAATTAACCTGAACCAGTTAAAGGTGCCAGCCTAGAATTCCCTGGTCCTAATATCCAATAAGATGGCATCTGGAGAGCATGTAGATCAAGAGATGCTGCTTTGTCAAGATTATAAAGTCCAACTGGGTAACCTCCACCTACCTCTACAGTAAACAGGGTAAGGTAGCAAAAGCCAAGCCCCAGAAAGCAGCTGGGAGACCAGTTCCTGGCCCTTTCCTGAAGAAGAGCTCACAAATATTTCCCAAGACCAGGGTTTTATTTACACAGGGAATCCACTATCTCTTATCACAAAAGCAGTGAGAATCTCCAGTATGTTCCTCTGCTGTGCCTAATTGGTTGTTCCAGCTGGCAGTCATCAGCTCCTTCTGGAGGTTCACCTACAAGCCTTCTTTCCAGGCTCAGTGCTGACCCCCAAGTTGACAGCAGACAGTGAAGGCCACCTCTGTGGGCAACCTGTATGTGCCGGTTGCTTTGGTCCCAACAATTTTGTTAATATTTCCCTGTATTATTGAGGAACCAGTTCTCTTATGCTCCAGTTCTTGAAATTAGAAAATGATTTTCAGTTTGTATGGAATGAAACTTTTCCTTTTGTGATTGACCTTACAAATGAACCCTAACATAATATTTTCTTCCTGAGGTTAAAAAAATCACTTGACAAGTCCAAGTATTTGTCTGGAAGCATGTATTGTGGTGGGCAGGTCTGTGTGAAGCCAGCAGGTATTCAGACATCAAACACTAAGAGAGATTAGCTTCTGCCTGGTACAGAGCAGGGGCTAAAAATTGTATTTGAATGAATTAATAAATAAAAGCATATTCTTAGACTATAGTAAGTAAGATGGAATCCTGGATGTATGATTGATATAGTCAGAAATTCCTAGCAGTCAGATTTAGTGAGAGAGGCATTTTCTGTGCCATAGTGGCAGTTTCTGAGTACCCACACTAAACTGCAACCTTCAAGGACAGGTTGATCAGATTGGGCTTAATGTAGAGTATCTAGCATGTAGTAGGCACTTAGTAAATACTGAATTAAAAAAAAGGAATGGTTGGAGGACGGATAGATGAATGGACAGATGGATAGACACATTATGATGGATGGTTGGTGCTGGCTATTAAATGGGGTGAAGAGACCCAACTTTCAGTGTGTGGTAGACTAAAAATAATACCAAATATCCCAGTATATTTGACTGCAGCTGATGCAAAATTGTCACTAATATAGCTAATACAGGTGTCTGAGAAGTACCACATTTTCTGTTGAGCTATAGAGAGATCACAGAGTGGGCACACCATATTGCCCTGGTGCCCTCAGGGTTTGAATAGCAGGGACATCACTTCCCTTATGATAAATACACACACATACATACAAAAATACTTCCAGGGGGCTGATAAGTGATGGGTGAATTCAAGAACAACTAAATAAACAGGAGAGCTCACGTTTCTACACTAAGGCAGAAAAAAATATTAACTGTGTTTCCACAGTGTCTCTTATTATTCCATTAGTTTTTTGGAGTAGTATATAAAACAACAAGCTCCATGCTGACAAACACTAGTATTGAGACTATTTCCACAGTCAATCCAAACAGTCTTCTCCCCTGGGTAAAATTATTATTTGGAATACAAGCAGAATTGTGGTTGCCTGAGCGAGCAGAGCATAAATGAGGGTGGTGATTCATAAGGTGACTTTAGCCAGTTTGCAAATATGCAACTTTTCTGGAGGCTGACGCAGAGTACAGACACTGCATTGCCATTTGAGCTGGTAAGCAATTTCTAGTCTCACTACCTCTTGAGAATTTGGAAGGCTGTGGAGGATACAGGTTTCTGAGGACAAGAGTTAACCTGACAGAATGCTCATTTACCAGAAATAAACCCTTCAGATCAGATCACACCCCTGTCAGTAGCTTTTTTAGCGGGAAGATGGTAATTCTGCCTCTTCACATATTTCTTTAAGCACTTGAACTCTTGTTCCATTGGCTTAAGCTTTTGGGGGCTGGGTCATTTGGGGTATTAATTCTATCCTGAAGAGGTTGAAGGAAAGTAGTACTGGTCTAAAAATACAGCTCTCTGAACTTTTAAACCCTCCAATCTCTTTGATTATGTGGTTTCTCTCTCTTAATCCTGAACCTTATTTCTTTTATTTTTTTTAAAAATCCATTTATTCTTTGATATCAGTAGAGTAAGTTCAAAAAGAGCAGAAATGGGTGTAAAGCTCAGCACAGCTTTGTTTGGAGAAGGAAGATAAAAAGTCAGCAGAATGATGCTGGTATGACTGCAACATAACTAGATGTCTGCTGAGTATGTTCCAGATATTAAGAGAGCCTCTCTGATAGCGATATACTCTGAAAGTGACAAACCCCAGTGTCTTCTGTGACATTGTACCAATTAGCTGCTCTGACTGGGCACATGTTTTAAGTTTGAGGTCCTGTACAGTTCTCAAAGGCTAGGCAGCCCCTAAGAATGAGACTGTAACTAGCTGTGCTGTAATAGGCAACAACAGGGGAACAACCCGGAGCTGTGTTTGAGGCTACTTCTTCATATTTTGTGGTGTTGAGAGAGTACTCACTTGTGATGGAGACTGAGTGCATCTATCCATCACACCATCCAGGAAATGCCCAGAGTTAGTTAGACTTTGAAGTTAAAAGGGAATAGGTGCCTGCCTTGGTGCTAGGATCAGGGGAATTTTGTTCTCATTACACCGATTTAGCAATGACAGAAAGAGACCCTGGCCTGACCCACAGTGGCTCGCTGCCACAGTGAGAAGAAGAATGCCTATATTGTACCCTTCTCGGTCAGGAAACCAAATATTCTGTTACCTAACTCTCTTCCCCCAGGACTGAAGAGGGCTAGTACAGAGACCTTCACCCAGATGCAAACATTAGAAGATTGGTGAATTATATAGTGTCCACACAGGGAACTGTCAGGGCAAAGCAGCACTTAGGAGACAAACCTTGAACTTCACACTGGAGGGAGCTGAACATGAGCTCCTCACGCAGCAGTAAAGACACATTAGCTGAGGAACCTGCTCCACCATGCAAACAAAAGCTGTGTATATCCAATAAGGGGAGAGCTGTTCCCTTGAAACCACCAAGAGAAAAACAAACAAGTCCCTAAAATATGCTTGCTGTCAGCCTTCGGTATTTAAAATATGTGGGCTTCACTTGGGGCACAGTCTGATGCTTGTTCTCCCTTGATTTCAGCTTCCATTTTCTCCAGCAATCATTCAAGTAGAAGCGGAACAGCTGCTGGGGCCGTGCCACCCCCACATCCTGTCAGTCACCCTTCTCCGGGACATAATGTACAGGGGAGCCCCCACAACCCCTCCTCCCAGTTACCTCCACTCACAGCTGTGGACGCCGGAGCTGAGAGGTAAGGCCATCTGTCTCTCTCTTCTAATAGGTGTCGCCGCCAAACCTCCCTCCACTGAGAAGTGCTTTGACAGTTGCTGAATTTTATTAATAATCCATTAGTGGGTTGAGTTACCCAAAGGTGACATTTTAAAGGTATATTCACAAAGCACTTGGACCAAATAGCTCATTATCTGTTTGATTTTCCATGGGGAAAAAAATGAAAAGATATTGGCAATAGCCAACTCAAGTATCTGATGCTGGAAAATGCATCAGAATGTCCTTGTTTTCCCCACCTTCCTTCAGTGTGTTTCAGGGACTCAATGCTAAGCAAATGTCCCTATGGGTTGAGATGCTTTCCAAATGTAAGATATCTATGTGCACTATCATGTACATCAGTAATGTTAGCTTGAGGGTACAGTGTAAAAGGGCACAGGATTTTATATGAGTGACCAGAAAGGTCACTGAATAATTTATATCCGTAACTCCCTGAGAATTTCTGGGAGAACAATTTTTAAGTCTTGATTCTTCAGTCCCTGTGTTTAGACTTCCTAACATGCCAGTGATGTGGATAACAGGCCATTCCTCTGTTTGCCTCTCCACTTGTCACCTGGCTTGAGCTGATCTACCTGGAGGTTACTGGCTTTATTTACCACACGGGGAAAAAAATTTCTTGTGGTGTCCCCTGTGCAGTCCTCGAGTAAGTGGGTGTTTGGTGGACAAAACAATTGGTTGATAGGCAGCATAAATAAAAGTTGGGAATCTTGGATTTTTTCATGAATCTGTAGTTTCATTGTTGGTCCAGTTTATGTGTTTTAATAGTTTTTATGCATGATAAACCATTTATAATCTTTATTTTTACCTATACCTTTATTTATTAATACATCCTTACAGTTAATAAACATGTGAAATACCTGCTATGTATGGGATATTATGCTGAATGCTGGAAATGCAAAAATTGTTGAAAGATGGTCCTCTCTTTCAGAATTTAATGATGAGCACAGACAAGTAAACCAAGTATAGCAACACTATTTGGATAAATGATAATGTAATGGAGATGCCACAGGAGCCCAAAGAAATATCCTGAACTCTGTCTATGGGAGGCAGGGAAAGAATGATCTAGACATCTAGGCACTGAAAGAAAGTTAAGACTTTTCTAGATGGATATATGGAGAATAGCATTGAAGGCAGAGAGAGGAACATGTGCAAGATTGAGGAGGGACAAGGACATACATGAGGGAGGTCAGATGGTATCATTCAGACAGAACATGCCTGATAAAGTCCAGTAAGAGTGGCATGTGCATGTGGAACCAGATACTTTTTGCTAAGGTATATACCTCTTATCCTGTCAGAAGTGAAGAGCTACTAGAGACTTTCAGTAGCAGAGGAATACATCAGATTGTCCTTATAGAGAAATAATCAGGTTACAAGATGGTGGAGTAATTGAGTATGGAAGCAGGGAAGGAATGTAAGGAAAACAAGGAGTTATTGTAGGTGTGCTTGTGAGCAATGCAAGAACTTGAAATAAGGCAGTGCAGTTAGGGTTGAAAATTTACTCAAGCACTATTATTTAAGAAACTAACTACTAATTGCTATTGTATATATGGAGTGAAGAGAAAGGGCAAAAATTATATCTGAATTTCAACCGTAGAGACCACGGTGGAAAACTAACAGGCACTGAAACTATAAAGAAAGTGTGGTAATATGGAAGAAGAGGGTGTTGGGTAGAAGGAAAGATGGGAAAGAAGGAAAGCTATAAATAGACTTTAGGGGCTTGAGTTTGGGGTAGTTGTAAACTACCTCTATGAATGTGTCTAATGACCAATTAAAAATATGATCAGAAGATATCAGATTTATTTTTACAATTCTATGTACATAGTAAAGTGTGAACTGTTAGCCTCCTTCCACTCGATTCATCCTCAAAGCAATGCAAATGATGGCTATCTAGTAAGTTCACAGATACAGGAGACAGGCAGTGTTTCCCGTTAGCAGATGTATCTCGTATGTTGAGATGAGCTTATTCATTTTAGCATGGTATGTTGATTCCAGTTGGTTTTAAATAATACTAGCATAGATTTTTCGTCACCTCATTTCATTCTTCTTTACATCATAAGGTATTGAAGCTAAAAAACAATGGATAATGACCTTTTCTTTATCTCATCTCTGATCTGTAGTCATACAACTCTTTATAAGAATATAAGGAAAAGCAATCTGTGTTATCTTCTTTTTGTATATACTCTTTAAAAGAATAAATGATAAATATACAAAAAGATTTTAGTCATTATTGAAGCAAATAACAACATTAACCTGATATCTGAATCCCAGCTCCATTAGTTGCTGAATGTTTGAATGTGTTACTTAGATGTGCCTACTGCTCGGGTGGTTTTTTTAAAGCATTTTATTTTATAATTTAAAATTTTCCTTCTTTTGAAAAATTGTAACATACAAAACCCTCCAAAATTAGAACAATGAACACCCATATTCCCTGTGCCCATTTTTACTTATTGTTAATATTTTGCTAACTTCTCCTTTGTGTTTTTCTGACTTGAGAAATTCTTTGTTTGCTTGTCTGTTGTTTCTGAACTGTCTGAGAGATCATTACAAATATGATTGAACTCCCATGCTAATTGTTTCAGTATAAAGGATATTTTCCTACATAATCACAATGCAATTATCACTCAGGCAATTTAGCATTGATAGAGTATTATCTAATATGCACTCAATATTCAAATTTCCCAAGTTGTATGAAAAATGTTCTTTATAGCTAGATATTTTTTTTCTTTTCTTTCCTTTTAATGATCCAGAATTTAATAAGGATCACAATTCTCATTTCTTTCTAGACCTCTTGACTCTAATAAAGTTCCCCAACTTTTAAAAAATTGTCATCACCGTCATCTTTGATAATATTGACAGTTTTCAAGGAACTTGAGATATTTCTTTTCCGTAGCAGTACACCATTTAGCTTTTTCTGATTGTGTTCTCCTCAACAGATCCAAAGTAAAGATTTAGAGCAGAAATAACCACCTGAGTGATGTGGTTTTCCTTAGCTCTTTTGCACCTTAAGTTTGCACCACATAGAAAATTAAGATTAAATGAACCAAATTGTGCCTTGCATGCTACCTGGCATGAAGCAGACCCTCAGTAGCTGTTGCTATTAATATAAAAACAGGCAACCTTAGCAGAGTTGAAGGAATCTAGTGGGGTGGCAGATGGTGTTATTAAATGATTGCAGTGGTTGATTATGTAAATAGTCATGGAAGGATAAGTGGAGAGGAAGGGAAGGTGATGGTACTTTATATGACTGGGTGAATGAAATGGATGTTTTCACTTTGTGGCTTTGCCTGCCTGTTGTGTTCTTCACACAGGATGTGTGCCCCATCCCTATGCCAATGCAACTAGAAAGGGCAAGTGTGTAGAAGGTTATCTCTTCCGATCAGGTTTGGAGAGGAGAATGACATGAAACAGTTCTGAATTATTCACTGTGCTTGAATTAGTGTCCAGCATAAAAACACTAAGAGGAAATGTGCTTACCTTCCGCTTTTGGTTTATATATCTTTGCCTCTGTTTGTCTGGGAAATCCCCCAGTAAAAGCTCCAGCAGTTTTCTTAACGGAAATAGGTTTATCACACTTTGCCATTTTTAGTGGGAAATTGGCATTTTTTCCTGCTTTGTGGGCATTGATTCATCATTTACTTTGCTCTAACTTGTTAATAAAATGGGCTGAGTCACTGTCAGCTGTCAGGAAAGGTCCTCCAGTTAGCATTAGTTTCTTTGATCCTCATCATCTTAAAATAAAATAAATGCAACTTCTCTCAATTTGATGAGGTTCCATATTTATTTTGAAATATTATCTGGATAAACATCGTTTCAGTGATTCCAACAGTACCACACATCACCTAATGTTGATTTAAACTTATTATGGGAAGTGGTGTTTTACTGTGTCATGTTGAAGGAACCAGTGGTACTTTATGACAGTAGCTTTCCGTAAGAGGAACTAAGCATCTTTGGAAATGTTAATTCATTTGGTTTCATAGTATTTCTGTTAAACCAGAGAAAACAAAAATATTGTTGGGAATCCTTTTTTGAGATGGAGAAATTTTGCAATTACAAGAATTAGTCAGCTGGATTTGTGTCACCTGTCTTGTACAAGAGCATGTCTGACGCCCCTTTCCCTTCCAAAGAAGGTTACAGGTGTGGTATACTATGTAGTAAAAGTAAAAGAACTCAAGGGAACTTGTGGATTGACCACAGTGGAATGACTTGTAAAAAGTTTCCTAAGAGTCCCAACTCTGAAGCAAAGAAGTCTGAAAACAAGGAAAGGAGATAGCCTCCTCAGGAAGTATACAGTCTAGTACAAAAATCATTAACAGTGAAGGCTCCGGACATTGTTTTTTGAGGAAGTAGTCAAACCACCTTGATCAAATAAGAAATGCCAATTTCTTAGTCTATATCAAGTACTGGGAAAGCTTACTGTTTTCCATTCATGTAAGATATAACATTACTAGAATTCTAGTTACCTTAATGTAAGTTCAGTCTTTCTGTGCCTTTGGTAATCAAGGCTGTTTTCACAGATACTTTTTTCTAATTCAGCATTGGGAATATATATACACACACACACACACACACACACATACTATATGTATATGCTATATGTAAATATGATGTGTAGGCTCATACACACACACACACAATAGCATTTAGCAATTCTGTCTCTCAAAGCTAGATGCTAAGGGGTTAAAGATGACAATTGTTGGGCCTCTCTGGTGGCTCAAGGGATTAAGACACAATCTATGAAGCTGTCTGTAGCCACTGCAGCATGAGTTCAATCCCTGGCCAGGGAATTACCCACATGGCACAGCAGACCTCTCCTGACTCGCCTGCTGCTCCCCTCAGTAGTGCATTTCACTCAGTCTGCCTAATCTGTTTCCCACTCTGGCTCTGGTGAGTCCTCTCACACACACACATACACCCACACCTCTGGCCTGTACCCCGTTCTTGTATACATAAATAAATAAATCTTAA